ACACCATGGGGGCCAGACAGTAGCGTAGCAGGTAGGGCACTTTCCTTGCACATGGCGACTCAGGCTTGATCCCTCGGCACACCGTATGGTTCCCAAAGCCCTGCCAGGAGTAATTTCTGATTGCAGAGCCAGGAGTAGTGAGAATTCTGGGTTTGGCCGAAAAAACAAATTAAAACTTTTAAATGATATGTTTTTGTATATTGGTTATTTTGGCTGGCATTTTGCTGTCTAGGTCTGTTTCTAAATGTTTTGTTAGGGCTTGAATATAGTCAAGACATTATATATATACATGTATATTGTCTGCATATCAATTTAAGTTAGAAATCAATAAGAAAAAATCATATTTAATAGCTCCCAAATGAAAGGGAAAAGATGGTCATAGAACTTGGGCTGTTCTTTGTCTGGGAGGAAATAATAATCTCTCAAATTATACTGTAGCCAGTGTGACTCTCAAAAGGTAAAGGCCTTCCAGTCTTGGCATGCTTGATAAGAATGTGTTCTAAGGGCCAGTGACGGATGGATTGACACACAGGAAGGATGATTTCAGTAAATGATACTGAGTTAATTATATATTGAAATGAAACTAAATTTTAAAGTACTTGTTTTTAAGAATTGTAGACTTTTGCATGTGAAAGGTAAGAACTATAAAACATTATAGATACATATGGGATAAAAGTTTTATAAATTTAGTATAGGGAAGAAATTCCTTAATGAGAAGCAAACTACAGACCATAAGGAAAGGGTTAACAAATTCTACCATATTAAAATGAACCTTTTCATTTACAGACAACTAATAAACACCAACAAGACAAGCCATCTACTAAAGATATTTGAATCACATATAAAGATTAGCATCCAAACAGTACAAATGTCTTCAACTGACACTAGAAGAGGAAAATTAAATTGAACCACAGGGAGATACAATACAAGGAGATACAAATGACTAAATACTCATCAGGTTGGAAAACTTTTTAATAAGTACATAGAGTAATATAGCTGGTAGCAATTTATTGTTATCAATTAAAAATTTTAAAAATATGTGATTTAATAATTCTGCTTTTTGTGTGTATTCTGCTTTTGGATGCTTATTCCGTGCATCAGTTTTGGCAGTTGTACTGCAGAGAATATGAACAAAGATATCTGTAATAGTACTAATATTTATAGCCCAAAGATAAGCAGTCCTTAAGAATACAGCAAACGATGATATATTCATAAAATGAAATATCAATTATCTGTGAAAATGAATTGCTGTTAGAGTAATGTAAACAAATTTGGGGATAAGAAATTCATAGACTATACTCAGTGTCATAGAATATACTCAGTGTAGTTTGGTTTTCTGTGATTAAAAGTTGTGAAATGCTTAATATATTAATTAGTCCTAGAATACGTGGTTTTAATCAGATTTTTTGGTGATGGTGGTGAAGGGATGAGGATAACGCAGTACAGCACCTCTGCGACTCTAATGAAACATGCTGTGTTTGTGATAATACTGAAAATCCTGTGCTGTAGTGTTCCTTTCCATATTTAGTTGCGAACATTTCCTCTGAGACCAGCATTTTTATGGACCTCTGCAAAAGTATGCTGGTCTTTTTGGAATATGATCTGAGAACTCCAGTATTTTATTTTTCTTGTCCTAGAGTAGTTCTCTCTTTAACAAGCATGAGCATCATATACTGTTTTATAGATCTATGTTAACGTAGTTTTGAAAATCAATGAACAGCACAGCTAAGAAAAAAATGGATACCTTTTTTTTTTTTTTTTTTTTTTTTTGGTCACAGCCAGCGATGCACAGGGGCTACTCCTGGCTCTGCACTCAGAAATTCCTCTTGGTGCTCATATACTGCCATGGTCATGATCTACATTATCTAAAAATAGTAGCTACTTCTAAAAAATGTCTTCTTTGAGGAAGTATCTGTTCAGTTCCTCTCCTTACTTTTAAAAAAGTTTTACTCTTTTATTGAATCACCATGATACAGTTACAAAGCTTTCATGATCGAGTTTCACTCATACAATGACCAACATCTATCCTGCCACCAATGCGCATTTCCCACCACAAGTGTTCCCAGTATCCCTTCCGCCACCCCCACCACATCCCACCCCACCTCCTACCTCTCCAGCAGGCACCTTCCTTCTTACTCTCTACTTTTGGGCATCACGGTTTGCAATACAGATATTGAGAGCTATCATGTTTGGTCCTCTTTCTGCTTTCAGCACACATCGCTCATACCAAGCAATCCTTCCACCATCTTTGACTTAGTGATCCCTTCTCCATCCCAACTGCCTTCTACCCCAGAACATGACTTCCAGACTGCAGAGCAATCCTCCTGATACTTGCCTCTACTCTCTGTGGGTGTTAAGTCTCATATGATGTTATTTTATTTGCCGTAAATGAGTGCAGTCATTCTATGTGTGTCCCTCTCTTTCAGACTCATTTCGCTCAGCATGATACTATGTCCATCACTTACAAACAAATTTCATGACTTCATCCTTCCTAATAGCTGCATAGTATTCCATTGTGTAGATGTACCAAAGTTTCTTTAACCAGTCATCTATTCTCGGCCACTCAGGTTGTTTCCAGATTCTGGCTACTGTGAACAGTGCTGCAGTGAACACACAAGTACAAATGTCATTTCTACCGTTCTTTTTTGCATCCCCAGGATATATTCCCAAAAGTGGTATTGTTGGGTCTGATGGAAGCTCAGTTTCTAGTTTTTGGAGGAAAAATTTTAGAATAAGGTTGGCTTGTTAGTATTCATAAGTGATGTTTATATTCTGTTCTCAGCTTACCATAGTGGGTAGAATCTTGGTTCTGAAGTCATTTTGTGTGGGTTTAATACCTGGTGTTTCCAGTAACTAGCTAGATAATCTCAAATAGATACTTAGCCTCTCTGAATCATTTCCCTTATCTATAAAATCAGCTTGATAATGATGCCTACTTTGTGGCTTAATTGATAGTTAGCTGAGATACAGTACGTAATATTTAGCACAAATGGCTACCCTCTGATACACCCAGATATTAGATAATACTACTGATAATTGATCACTCTGAGACTACATTTAATAATGACTACCAGAATCTAGATAGACTCTTATGTGTTTAAAATTAATCAGTTTTCATAATTCTGTTTTGGAGAAGGGGGTGCTTGGTTTGGGGCCACACTGAACAGTACTCAGAACTTAATCCTGTATCAGGGGTCATCCTGATGGTGCCAGGGGGACCATAGACAGTATCATCTGCAGGACTCCTGAGCAAAGGAGTCCGTCTCATGCAAAGCAAGAGCCTTAATCCCTCGATTGTCTCCTTGGTTCTTTCCTTAATTCTTGAGTAACCCACAAGATAGGTCTCAGTGAAATAAAATTCTGGTAGTACTTCTGTTTGTCTTTTGGGCCACACCTGGTGTTGCTCAAGGGACTGTATATGGTGCTGTGGATCAAACCCAGGTGAGCTGTGTGTGCAAGCAAACACCCTACTCACTGTACTGTCACTCCAGTCCAAGTAGCATTTCTCTTGTTTTGGTTATATGAACATAAGCAGGCTGAGGACTTTCACTTAGTTTAGAAATTAGATCTTTAGTGAGGCGTTAAAGAAGAATCGCAAATCAGTTACCACTTTAATTTTGGTGAGTTGTCCCCCCTAATAAGTTTCACGAATTGAAGTGTATTTAAACAGCAAAAGTTCTTTGAGAAAATAGAGTTTCAAATAGCAGGATTGTTTAGAAAATGTTTTGCCCCTTAATCTTGAAAATATAGTGACACTTCAGACCAAGAGAATGTTGGCCTGTCAGTGTCGGCACTTGATAAGATGATGCAAAATGTTGAGTTGCAATACCTCTATTGCGAACCACAACACCGTAAAGGAAAGAGAGCCAAAGAGGCGGGATGGGGTGGGGGAGTGGGAGGGTTAATGGGATCGTTGGTGGTGGAGAATGGGTGTAACTGAAACCTAAGCACAGATGCTTGTAAATCGACATCGGTACCTCATGGTATCTCACTAATAAAAATTAAATTAAAGAAATGTTGAGTTAAAAAGACTGAAGTTGTAAAGAATTATTAGTAGTACTTAATATTAGTCAATAGTAATTATGAATCATCACATTAATATTACTGTGAGAAATATTTAAAAAGTCCAGGTGGACCAGGGAGATAGTATGGGAGGTAGGGTGCTCGCCTTCCATCCTGCTGGCCCTTCACTTTCCCAGCAAAACATGCAGTGCCAGCAGTGATCCCTGAGCACAGAGCTAGCAGTAAGTAAGCCCTGAGAACTTTTTTTTTAAATAAATAGATTTTATTTGGAGAGTTTTTAAAGTGTGGAGGGGGGCAGAGAGTGAGAGAGAGAGTAATGTACTCAAGAGAGAACGCGGGCTTCTCAAGGACAGAGAGAGCCCCTACACGCATTCCAGCATTACACACGAAAGCATGCAAGTGCACATCTCAAGAGGGGAGATGCGGGCGACACACGTGCTCAGCCGCCACATGTGCTTGGCCGAGTGGGCGCAAGCAGCACACGGGCTAAGCTCTGAGAACTGTCTGACATAACCCATAGGCTAAAAAGTGAAATTTTAAAAATTAAATATTTTAAACAGCACTAAGCTACATGTGTGACTACTCTAGCAAAATTAGGTCCTTAAAATGCCGTTTATAGTTTTATAATTTTAAGAAATAGTAGATTTTTAATATTTTTTAATAATGGCAATTACTGGGGAGTTACCAAGGGCTAATATTCAAAACATTTCTTGTTAACGTTTTTTGTTAACAATTTTGTTAATGTTACCTATATTATGGTTTTTATACTTTTATGGTTGTACTTACTTTACCACCATTTCTTCAAATAATGTAAGTTCTATCCCTTATTATAACTTTTAATGTCTTTGTTACACAAATATTACCCATAAAATATAAAATGGTTGCAAAATTCCTCTGGTTTAGAGATAATTAAGTACATATTTTCTTTTTCATGAGCTTAATGAATATCTCATTAATAATTGTTTCTTTTGTTACAGAACTGTAAGAGTAAATGGGTCCAGTAATTGGAATGACTCCAGAAAAGAGAGCTGAAACTCCAGGAGCTGAAAAAGTTGCGGGATTAAGCCAGGTTTACAAAATAGGAAGCTTGCCTAAAGCTGTTGATGCTGCCAGACCAAAGGCCACTCTAGTGGACAGTGAGTCAGCAGACGATGAACTCACAAACTTGAACTGGCTTCATGAAAGTACTAATCTCCTAACAAACTTCAGCTTTGGCAGTAAAGGCCTTCCGATCGTTAGTCCATTGTACGACATAGAAGGAGATGATGTGCCACCCTTTGGACCGTCTTGCTACCAAAATCCAGAGAAAAAGTCAGCAACTTCAAAGCCCCCATACTCCTTTAGTCTTCTCATTTATATGGCTATCGAACACTCGCCAAATAAGTGTTTACCTGTCAAAGAAATTTATAGCTGGATTTTGGACCGCTTCCCATATTTTGCTACTGCACCAACAGGCTGGAAGAATTCTGTTCGACATAATCTTTCCCTGAATAAATGTTTTCAGAAAGTGGAAAGAAGCCATGGCAAGGTCAGTACTTGTGGACATTGTTGTGTTTGGAGAGAATTAATACGGAGATTTTAAAATACAGGGAAATCGAACGAAGACAAAATATAATCATGTCACTACTTAAACTTAAATTCAATTACATTTATTGACTTTTCGATTTTTCCCCGTTTGGTCTGTTTTTGTGATGACTTAGCTTAAACACTTGGCTGCAGTGCCTAAATATTTCACTTGTCCTGGATGAGGATAAAGACAGCACACTTGTTTGTAGGACATTGCTCTCGGCATGTGAAGTGGTTCCAGGGATCAGACATGGACTGCATGCCTGCTAAGCCAGCCTTCTACCGCTCCACTATCCTCAGGCTCCCTAAATTTCAAAACATTCATATAAGTCAAACAATTATGTTAAATCTACTATAGGTACATTATTTTATTTACTTATTTTGTTTGTTTGTTGGCTTGTTTGTTTTGAGGCCACACTTGGCTCTTAGTTCAGAAATTACTTCTGGTGGTGCTTATGGGACCAAATGGGATGCCAGGATTCAAACGCAGGTTTGGTACTGTGCAAGGCAAATGCCTTAGCCACTGTACTATCGGTCCACCTAGAATTTACTTTTCAGTGCCTCAGTTTTCTAGCCTTTGTTTCCATATTTATTATTATATCAATATAAATTCAGTCTGGCGGTCTCTGCCTTATCATTGGAATGTAGAGTCCTTTCCAATACTAAATACGACTGACTTGTAAGTACAAAAGGCTGTCGTAGAAACTATTTGGGCCTAAAGATATTATGGCATCCATCTTGGGCTCTTGGATAAATACATCTCCCTGAACATCAGCTCCCACATCATGGACACTATAGCTGCTCTGTGAGGAGATTATGTGACAAGAAAACGAAGCCCCAGCTAACAGCAATATGAGGAAGTCATCTTGGAAACAGATTCCCTTAACCCAAGTCAAACTTTACTTTCAAATGACTAGAAGTTTTGGGATTTTTTTTTTAATCTGTCCTTTTTAATACAGAGTTTTAGTCTTTTAGTGTTTAGATATAAGGTGAGACAAGGGAAGGGTAGTGTCTACTAGGTGTTTAGAAACATGACACAGGAATAGAGGTGTTGCAGTGGGTATAAAGCATTAAGTTTAGAAGAAACCAACGTGCGTTTTGAATGGAGCTATCTAGGGAAAGTGGAATGGAAGCCAAGGAGAGTGAGATTAAATGTAAAAAAACAACAGTGTAGAGTACCACAGAGAGGTGAAAATGACAAAAGCTCTCAACACAAGCAACAACCAAAGGATTAGGATCCAAAATACATAAGCAGCTATATGTTGATAAATTTTTAACAATTGGATGGGGAGAGGATATACATTTTTACAGAATTTCATGGTATAAATATTTTTGTCATGGCTGTTTTTAAGGTTGTATCATTAGCTGTATACTTGAAGAGGTGTTTACAATCAGAAGCATGCCACTGTCAGAAACTTCTATAGGGGCTGCCCCATTACTACAGCAGGTTGGGCACATGCCTTGCATGCAGCCAACCCAGGTATCTGTTTTGGTCCCTAAGCCCATCCTGGAGTAATTCCTGAGTGAACAGACAAGACTAAGCCCTTAGTCTTGTCTAAGCTGGATGTGCTTCAGAAACCAAAAGAAAGAAAAGACAAGAAAGGGGGCGGGGGGGGGGGGGGGGGAAGAAAAGAAACTTGTACGATTTAATGTGAGATGAAAACCTAAAAGAAAAATGGACAAGAATTTGAATAGGCAGTTCATGGAGGAGGAAATCAGCATGACCAGTACATGTGTAGTACATACCAGTATATACAACATATTTCTCCTCATTAGTAATAATGGACTAACATAAGAACAAACCCATTAAAATACAAAATGTTTAAATGGTTGATCACATTAAATTAATTGGATGAGGACACAGGAGAATCATATCAATAGCTTATAGCAATGACAGGACTGTTAAGTTAGTTTCACCATTCTTGAGGCCAACTTGGCAGCAGATATTAAAATTAGAAATACGCGATTCTTTGATCTAGTGAATCATAGTCTGCTTTTCCCTCTAAAGTAGTCTTCATACTTGCATGCAAGTATAAGAATAATACCGTGTATAAGAATAATCACTAAGTATTGCTTATAATGAAAGTTGCAGGACGCTATGTCCAGTGTGCCATTTGTGATAGTGATCAAAAGGGACTTGTTCTTGTCCACAGTTTTTAAATGTGTGATTAACCTGAGTGGTTTTGGATGCTCAGAGAAAGAAAAGAATCAAGAAAGTAAGAGCTAATGAAGGGAAAAGTATACAGTCCTGAGTACAAGGAGAGTTTGATAAAAAGAAAGAAATCATCTTATGAGATAATGAAGAATGTGAGTATAAATATGCAATTGTAGTACTTATGTTATATTGAGACAAGTTAGCAAGCTAAGCTATCACCACAGACCCAGATAGAAGGAAAAGAAATAGATATATAATGATCATCACAACAATCATTAAACCTCTTTAGTTTAAACGTCTGTAATTTGAACAGAAAGTGAGATATGTTCAAGTAGAATTGAGAATGGCTTGAATTTTTTGTTTCTTAAATACGAAATACTTGAGGTGGTGTCCCAAAATAACCGTTTCTCTCCCAATTTACAGAAGGAAAGTAAGTAACTTCTTCCATTGTATGTTGGAGTTTTAATTTTGCACTTCAGCAACACTTTTTTTGCTAAATAGTATTATGCAGAAATGATGTTCTCTAAAAGAAGGCAAGGTCAGAAGGTTCAGGTCAAACTACAAAGTGGTGTTAGTAATCAGGTGTGTGTGTGTGTGTGTGTGTGTGTGTGTAAAATATGCTTTGGGATTTTAAAGTTGTGCAAGGTGGGCCATGGCGTTTGTTTTGTTTTTATTTATTCAAGTCATATCTACTTTTAAAAAATGTTTAAAGATAACTAAAACTTTACACTGAGATTTTAGTTGGGAAACAAGGATTAGCTTAGAACTTTGGCCTGGTTAAAATGTTAGCCTGTGTATTTACATAGTGATACATTGTTTCAATAAAAACAGAAAAGAAGTCTTGCTATTATAAAAGATTTTGCTACAAAAGCTTACAGGTGTCATCTTTAGTTATTTTAATTTGCTATTTCTTTAAAAAAAACTGAAATAATGTAAGGTAAAGGTAAAAAGGTAAAGGCCCTCCCGTTGATCATCGATTTGCTCGAGCGGGCCCAGTAACGTCTCCATTGGAGACTTTGTTGTTACTGTGTCTGGCATATCTAATACTCTCGGTAGCTTGCCGGGCTCTCTGAGAGGGGCAGAGGAATCGAACTCGGGTCGGCCATGTTGGCCGCTTGTAAGGCGAACGCCCTACCCGCTATGCTATCGCTCCAGCCCATCAAGGAAAAATTATTAGTAAAATATATCCGGTAAATACAAACATTTCAGGAATGGTGATTATTGCATCTTCTCCCAAGTTCAACTTCAGTTAAGATAAATCCTTTGAGAGTATATTGTAACTCACATGTTTCTTCATTTCTTTTGTTTTGTTTTTGTTTGGGGACCTCATCTGCCAGTGCTTGGGCTACTCTCAGGTACTAGGTAGCCATGTGATGCTGGAGATCTACACTGGGTTTCTCCAACCAATTGGATTATCTCTGGCCGCATTTTTCATTTCTTGAAAATCTTGAGTGGTTCTCTGCCAAGTAATTTGAGAAGTCTTGGGGTAAAATAGTAAATGTAATTTACTGTTTGTCTTAACATAAAATAGTGAGAGAGAAACCACATTTCCTATTTCCACTGCAGAAGATTTATCTTTTTTTTTTTCCTTATTTGTTGATTTGGGGCCACACTTAGAGGTGCCCAGGGCTTACTCCTGGCTCTGCTCAAAGGGATCACTGCTGGCAGGCTCGGAGGATCATATGGGATGCCAGGGTTGGGACCTGAGTTGGTCGCCTTCAGGGCAAACATCCTGCCTGCTGTACTATCTCTCTAACCCTGAGATTTATCTTTTTGAAGGCAAACTTAGTTTAAAGTAATACTTCCAAAATTGGTTGTATTCTGTCTTCTGAGGGCTGGAGCGATAGCACAGCGGGTAGGGTGTTTGCCTTGCATGCGGCCGACCCGGGTTTGATTCCTCTGTCTCTCTCCGAGAGCCCGGCAAGCTACCAAGAGTATCCCGCCCACATGGCAGAGCCTGGCAGGCTCCCCGTGGCGTATTCAATATGCCAAACACAGTAAGAAGTCTCACAATGGAGACATTACTGGTGCCTGCTCGAGCAGATCGATGAAAATGGGAGGACAGTGGGAGGACAGTGCAGACTTCTGAGCACAAAAATAGAAGCAGACATAGAAGCAAACTTTTTTTTTTTTTTTAGTGGGGGCAGATTTGGGTCACATCTGGTGTGCTCAGGGACTGAGTGTCCTGGCTCTGCTTAGTGGGGAACTGCGAGAGATGCTGGGGGACCATGCTGGGCAGGGGTGCCTCCTGCAAGGCACATCCACATCCCACAGAGCTGTCTTTCCGTCCCCAAAGGAAGAGTTAAAAATAAGTTCCCTTTTGCTATAAGCTCTTAAAACATTTGAAAATACACGATTTTGTCTCTTGTTTCTGTTAGTTTGTGAATAGACAGTGGACAGGAAGTGCTGTTCTGGTAACAAACCAGACTGTTATTTGGAGACATTACTTGAAACACTTTATTGCCCTGCAACTGCACAATTTCAGTACCGGTTCTTCCAATTTGCTCTTTCAAGGGAGTAGCAATTCTACTTGGATTTTTTTTTAATTCGATTTTCTTGCAATAGGTTTTTTAAAGTAGACAGCTTCTAGACTTGTAATCTCTGGAATACCAAGACAGCATGGCTAGAATTAATTAAAACTATTATCTTAGTCAATATATGGAAAATCATTCCTGTATTTCTTTTCTGTATACAACCTGAAGGAGAAAGGATGTTGTAGGTGCTAGCATTTTTAAGTTTTATTTTCCTATCAATACATGTACTGTTTGAATAAAGTGACTAAACAAAAATGTATCAAGTTCCTTTGTAAGAATAAAAAACTTTGAAGTTCTTGTCGTTGTAATCCATGTGATCTTTTGCTTCTAAAGACAAAAAAGAGTTTTACTGATGTATGTTGTCTCTGTTACACTGTGATACGGAAACTTCGGAATAATCCCTTACTGCTCACTTCCTTTGTAGCTCTGTCACTTGCACATGCTTAGTGAACTGGCCTAGTTTTTGAGGATAAAATGTCAACGAAAGGACTGAATTTTAGAGACTAATTGATTTTTCAGTGTCATATAGCCAATCAGTAATTATATAGTGTTTATTATATGTATAGTATTCATTGCACTGCTTTGCTCCATGATTAGATACGATGTACAGAGGTAAAAGAACCTCGGTAATAGTGCTGTTATTAACATCGAAGAACATTGCTAATAACATGGTAAACAAAACACTGTCCTGTTCATCGATGTGCTCCAGCGGGCCCAGTAACGTCTCTGTTTTGAGACTCGTTGTTACTGTGTTTGGCATATTGAATATGTCAAGGGTAGCTTGCCAGGCTTTGCCATGCGGATGAGATACTCTCGGTAGCTTGCTGGGCTCTCCGAGAGGGGTGGAGGAATGGAACCTGGCTTGGCAGGGCTCGCTGTGCACAAGAGAAACTCCCTACCCGCTGTGCTATCACTCCAGCCCATACTAATAACATGAAATTACTATAAACATTAAATTATTTGCTTTTTAACTTTAAATAGGAACTACAACATTTTACACATTAACAATCCCATTGGGCTGGAGCAATAACACAGCGGTAGGGCGTTTGCCTTGCTCGCAGCCAACATGGCCAACCCGAGTTCGATTCCTCCGCCCTCTCGGAGAGCCCGGGAAGCTACGGAGAGCATCTCGCCCACACAGCAGAGCCTGGCAAGCTCCCCGTGACGTATTCGATATGGCAAACACAGTAACAACAAGTCTCACGATGGAGTTGTTACTGGGCCCGCTGGAGCAAATCGATGAACAACGGGAGGACAGTGACAGTGAACAATCCCATTAACTAGTTTGTTACTGTCTGTACCTTACAAATAAGGGCATAATGACTCAGACCAGAGAGGGGGCGGGTAGGGAAGGAGAGAGAGAGAGAGATGGCGGGGGGTGGGAGGGAGAGAGGGTGGGAGGTGAGTTAGTTTTCCTAAGGTCTCCCAACACATAGATCGAAGAGCTGCGGACTGGAACCAGGCAGCCTTCCTCCAGGGCTTTTTATCAAGCACCGCATGAGTAACAAGCCTACTTCAACATTTGCATTGTACTCAGTATTACGGGGTTTTTATTTTTCCCTAACACATTTATTTAAACTTTTCAGATACCATTTATGTCTTCAAGTTCCAGGTTATTAATCTTTGCATATTTTATTCTAGGTTAATGGAAAAGGTTCCTTATGGTGCGTTGATCCAGAATATAAACCCAGTCTTATGCAGGCCCTGAAGAAGCAGTCCTTTTCCTCGCCATTTAACACCCCTCCTGCATCTCCACAAAGGTAGAGGATCTTTATATAAGTGTCATGGTCATTCATTTCACTGTGTGAGGTGGAGGACCTTGCTAACAAAGTTAATAAGCTTTTGGGTCTTTTGTTTGTATTTTTTACTATATAGAGAAATATTTGTGAGTAGGACATTAGCCGAAGCATTTTTATTTCATCTAACTTGTGTTGTTAGAAAACAAGAAATATGTGAGAAATTGAATTCTGGAAAATGTACACAATCTTGACTATAACAAAACTCAAATAAAATTATAGTACAATTTCAGGTACAAAAATGTTAACTCCTTTTAATTGATTCCAAAACATAAAGTTAAGTTTATTCCTGAACATCATCTTTTTTTTCCCCCCCGGGGGGGCAGAGGGGACCCTTCCCCCCGGGGGGCACAGGGTCCCACCACGCAGTGCTCCTGAAGGAAATCAAGTTCAGGGCCTTGAGCGTCCCTCACTTCGAGCATTCTTCTTGGCCGCATGCAACATTTTTATATGCATATTTGTTTTTTCTAAATTTGTGTTTTATTTCACAGGATTTTTAGTATTTGAAAAATTCATTCAACTCTCAAATTTTTACTTGTTTGACGAGTAAAATAATGTTTGAGTTTTTATTTTATTTTTGCTGCGAGTTTTTCTAGTAAATTTTTCATGAAAAATATTCTAACTGGGGTGGGGGTGATCATGGGAGAGAACCTGGGGACACTGGTGCTGGGAAATGTACACTGGTGGAGGGATGGGTGTTGGAATACTGTGTGACTGAAATCCAATCTCGAAAAGCTTTGTAATGGTCTATCTCACAGTGATTCAGTAAAGGTTTTTTTTTTTAAATGTATTCTAACTTATTAAAAACTGCTGTTTTACTTTTACGAATAGATATAAAGTTTGACTTGATTTTGTGTGCGGGGGTGCCTGTGGGCATGTGTGTGTGTTTGTGTGTGTTTATGAAACTAGGAACTTGGAGCTGGAGAGCTAGTACAGCAGGTAGAGTGCTTGCCTTGCAGGCAGCCAGCCTGGGGTTGAGCCCCAGCATCCCAGATGGTCGTCTGTCCCACCCCCACCGCCAAAAAATAAAAATAACCAACCAGCAGAACAATTCTTGATTTATAATCGTATAAGCCTCCTAAAATCATCTTTTACTAAATGCTTTCTACTATGGTAATGCCTATATTAACATATCAAACTTTAGCATCCAATACAAAAGCAAATAGTATTCTGTTATTGTTACAGACATTCAAAGTGCTCTCTTATTTTTGTTTGAATTTTGGACCACTGCCAGGGGTTCTCGGGGCTTAACTCCTGGCGGTGCCTAGGAGACCATATGCAGTTCCAGGGTTTGAACAAGGTTGGCTTCATGCTAGGCAAACACCTACATTTACGTCTATACTTTGTATTATTTCATCAGCCCTAACTTGCTCTATTCTTACTTTAATGCTATGTGAGATACTGATTATTCCTATTTTACAGATGAAAGAATTAAAAGATGAATTATTTTTACCTAAGAAAATTCAAACGTTATGGTGTAATTTTATATGTTTTGTTTTTGCTTGAACAAAGAAATCTAGGTGAAATGGGTTTTTTTTTAAATTTATTTATTTTTAATAGTGAGACATCATGAGGTACAGTTGCAGACTTACATATTTTTGTGCTTGGGTTTCAATTATACAATGATCAAACACCCTTCCCACCACCACGGATCCCAGTATCCCTTCCACCCCCCAGCCCCCCCCTCCCCCGCCTCTGTGTCAGGGCATTTCCCTCTCTCTCCTTTTGAGTGCTGTGGTTTGCAAAAGAGGCATTGAGTGGCAATCATGTTTGGTCAATAGTCTACTGAAATGGGTTTTTTAATTCACAAATTGTTTTTGTTTCTTAGATCTGTAAAAAGTGAAATAAATTTTTCAGTAAGTAGTTACATTTATCTTATTTTGAAATAAAATTATCTCCTTATTTTTCAGTGGCTCTTTCTCACCTCACTACTTGGGCTCTATACTCAAGCCAAACCAGGTGCAAACTCTCAAAGGTATGTATAAGACCAGTATTTTATATCATTAAAAACTCAGATCTAAAGTTATGATTTTAATTACAAGTATTTTGTTTTAGAAGATTGGGAAAATGACTATTCTGTTGTTGACAGTTTAATAGAATTGCTGTGGCCCATTTCATGAATGCGTGACTAGACATAATTTCATGCATGGACACATAATTACTTTTTCTCCAAATACTGGGCTTATATTGTATATACTGCTTTATATTGCCTCTTAGTTTCCTTTTATGTATATATTTCTTGAAAATAAGAAAATACTCTGTCAGTAGAGGTTTCTCAAGTCCATACTAGACTATCATGTAGCTTGTTGAATAGTCCCATGGACGGTGTTTCTCCTGTAATTGTTTCTGTGTGCCCTGTGAATTAGGGTTTCTTTTGGATTTGTAAATGGTTATAAAAGAGAAGAACAGTATCCTTAGACCTATGAACTTGGTTATAACAGTTGAGTTAAATGGCTGCAGCAGAGAACTCAGTATTGTATCTGATCCACAAAGCCAAAAATACTTATTTTAGTTTTCTTTATTATGTTTCAAGAATAAAATAGTTGCATTCTCTGTTGCCCACATCACACCCTGTGATATGAATCTTTTCTCTCTACGGTCATGGTTCTCCCGTTGTTTATCGATTTGCTTGAGCGGGCCCGGTAACGTCTCTATCGTGAGACTAGTTGTTACTGTGTTTGGCATATCGAATACATCACGGGTGGCTTGCCGGGCTCTGCAGTGCGGGCGAGATACACTCCGTAGCTTGCCGGGCTCTCCGAGAGGGGCGGAGGAATCGAACTCGGGTCGACCATGTTGGCTGCGTGCAAGGCAAACGCCCTACCCACTGTGCTATCGCTCCAGCCTCTACTTTCTCTCAACATTTTACTGAAACTATTTTACTTCAAACACACAAAGAATAAAGCATACTTTATTCTGTGAAGTATTTTATTTTATTCTTAGAAAAATTTGCTGACCCCTGGATTATAATATAGTTCAGAATATTTTGTTGGTTATATAAGTGTAAAGAAGGTAGCAAAATATTAACTTGTAGGAATCTGTAGTATATTTTTGAATCAGTGAGTTTCCCCCCTTTCTCATTGTTAATATAAATTAGTAGTACATTAACTTTTTTTGACCATTATTTGGAGCCTAGAGATGTATTTCTAAAATGTCCTTTACAATAGAAATTCTCAGACTCAAAGACTTTCTGTATATCCAGGACCCTTATCAAAGCTCAGTTTGTATACACTATTCGAGAACATTATCATTGCAGATTTATTTGGAATCTTTTCCTGCTCTTTTTTTTTTCTTTTTTTTTTTTTTTCATTTAAATTCTGATCCTTCTATGGAAACAGATACTTCCACAATTTTCTGTTGTTCATCTTGGGCCCCACTTGTTCGTGACTAGAACATCTATCCTTCTCCATCCAGTGACGACACGTGACAGGCGTTCTCTCTCCACGCTGCAGACCGCTCACTTCCCTTTATCTGTGTGTTCAGGCCTATTCAAGTAGCCGACTTGTCGGTGGAAAGTAGTTAGTTTCCTTGGTTAAATGGATGCAGTCTTTCCTGGAATGGATTTTTTTAATTCCTTTGGGTTTTAAGGCAGTGCGTATAGGTCTCCAAAACATGAAGATTTACATTGGAATCATATTGTGTTTGGGTGTTTTTTGAAACTCCTAAGGACATTTGATTTTTTCTCTATTATTTCTGGGGGAAGTTTGCTTAAGCCACAAAATGGCTTAAACATTCAACTATTCTACAAGTATTTGTTGAGTTCCTACATAGTGCCAGGTACTGTTAATAGGATAAGCAGAGCTGAAGGAGACCTCTGCTCTCAGAATATTTACAGATTACTGAAGAAGGTTGATTAGTTATACAGAGTTTACCGGGGAATAAGGAAGTGGACAAGTTAAGCTTGGAAAAACTTCAAAAAAATGTATTCTGGAGCAGGACGTGTGATACTTGCTCTGGACCCCAAAAGCTGGAAGGTTACTTAACTTTCAAGGGTAGATATAAGTTTCATGGCGGGCGTTTGCTGAAAATAAATGTGTAACCATCCTCATCACCTGCTGATGAGTATGGTTAAAGCCTGGGAGTATAAAAGGCCAGGAAGCCTTGGTTAGGTCGCTGTAAATGTGATCATTCAGTAGGGGCTGGAGCGATAGCACAGCGGGTAGGGCGTCTGCCTTGCACGCAGCCTACATGGCCGACCCGAGTTCGATTCCTCCGCCCCTCTCAGAGAGCCCGGCAAGCTACCGAGAGTATTCGATATGCCAGACACAGTAACACCAAAGTCTCCAATGGAGACGTTACTGGGCCTGCTCGAGCAAATCGATGATCAACGGGAGGGCCTTTACTTTACTTTACTTTACAGTATGGGCTAGGCAGATGAAGACTTCTAAGAAGGTTTTTGCCAAATCAAGGGGGGCTAATACTTAACATAAAGAGTTTCTTTTTCCTCCTATGACATGAACAATACTAGTGGCTCACACTTGGATATGGCTTAATTAACACAAATTGCAGTTCTGGTGTCACTGTGTTAATTAGCATCAGATGAGTTTTTTCTGTGATGTTTTGCATACGTTATCTTGTTTCAAAACAGTTCTTTGAGATATTTTATCTTCTTTAGAAAATAAACTAAAGTTTGGAGGGATTAACTTTTTATCAAAGCGCACAACTGGTAAATAAATTATGTAGAAGAAACTCTGAATTCACAGTCTGCTTTCCTTCCAGTTTAAAGGGAGCTGCTTGGGCCTTAAAGAATAAGGCAGCGTCATCAGTTTTATGTTATGGAAAAATTACTTTTTCATTGTTGGGGTTTAGTAATTTAACTGGGTATCAAATCCATCTACCACTTTTTAGAATCATTTTTGTTGATTGGGCTGGAGCACAGAGGTAGGACGTTTTTGTTGATTGGGCTGGAGCACAGAGGTAGGACGTTTGCCTGGGCACGCAGCCAGCCCGGCCGAGCCAGGTTCGATACCTCTACCCCTCTTGGAAAGCCCGGCAAGCTTCTGAGAGTCTCTTGCCCACACGGCAAAGCCTGGCAAGCTACCGGTGACGTATTCAATATGCCAAACAGTAACAACAAGTCTCAGAATGGAGAAACTTCTGGGCCCACTCGAGCAAATCGATGAACAACGGGAGGATAGTGTTTGTTTGTTTTGTTTACTATAGTAGAGCTATTTTAGATTAATAATAGAAGTTAGGCTTAGAACTTCGGAGTAGAAGGTGGAATAGTTAAAGTACAGTCTTGTTACCTCATAATGTTCTGTTTTTATGTATTAATATCAGTGTTATATAGTATTGTAAGGTAGCAGAAGATAGCGATAATAATATGAAAATGAGCCAGAGAGTAGTACAGTAGGTAGCATTCTTGCTTCGCACATGGCCATTCCAGGTTTGATCCCCAGCACCTTCTGTAGTCCCCCAGGCTCACCAGGAGTAATCCCCGAGGACAGACCCGCCAGGAGTAGCTCCGAGCATCTCTGGGTATGGCCCTAGAACAGACAAAAATAATGATGATACAAAAACATTTGTTGAGTGCACTTCCGGGCTAGGCACTGTGCTAGATACCAACCGTAATACATCAGTGAACAAAACAAAAATGAAACTCAAATTCTAGCTTAGAAAATGTTAGTATTTACATTTAACCTAGCCAGACTACAAATGTAAAATTTAAACAATGATGTTGTAGATTAAGTGCGAACTTAAGATTTTTCATTTGCATAATATTGAAGTGAAAATAAAGTGATCCAGGAAGTTTAAGGTATTAATAATTAATTGAAAATGTTCTCCTTTATTAAAGGACAAAAATGGATGGGGGAGATAACTTAGAGGGCTCAGGCTTTGCATGCAGGAGACTGGGGTTTGGTTCCCGGCACTACTGTTCCCCCAGGCACCTCTGGGAGCTTGCCCCCCGAACAGCATAGCCACTGACACACTTAGCCACATAGTGTGGCCCACGATCACGATCATTCTGTTGTTCATTGACTGCCTCGAGCAGGCCCCAGTAACGTCTCCTTCGTCCTAGCCCTGAGTTTTTTGGGGTTACTTTGCTTTTTTTGGGTCACACCCAACGATGCACAGGGGTTACTCCTGGCTCTGCACTCAGAAATCACTCCTAGCGGTGCTCAGGGGACCATATGGGATGCTGGGAATCGAACCTGGGTCGGCTGAGTGCAAGGCAAACGCCCTATCCGCTGTGCTATCTCTCCAGCCCCTAGCCCTGAGATTCTTAAAAGTGCCATATTCAAGGCTCTGTCGGGGTTAGAAGAATGAGACCCATCATTGTTACTGGTATTTGGCATATTGGGTACGCCACAGGGAGTTTGCCAGACTCTGCCGTGTGGGCAGGTTACATTCGGTAGCCTTCCAGGTTGTCCAAAGTAAGAACGAGATAATAAGATGGAGCTGGGTTTTATAGTCTCTGAGTCTTGGCCGTTGATGGGATTATACAGCGCCAGGGGGTCAGTTGGTGGGTGTGACCCCTGCCTACTGGGAGATGGAGGATCTGGGTGGAGGATGCTCAGCCCCAATCCGAGCAGGCTTGGAGATCTCAGCCCCGGGACCCGCATGCCTTTGTTCCTCTGCCGGTACCATCATGCGTGTGGAGAGTGGTCTCAGCATGGTTGTGGCTGGTTCTGGAGGTCTTTGGCTGCCGGAGCTCTGCTCGGGGCAGGGAGGGAAACTCAACCCGCCCCACTGCAAGGGCCCCCGGCGAGGACAGCTAGGTGCGGGGGCAGTGTGGCCCAAAAACTGAAAAAGGGAAGAAGCATAAGTCAGCCTCTTCATGTGGTTGCTTTGTGAAAATGTTTGTTTTGATAGAGGCTGATCCTCATATTAATTCCTGAATTTGCACAGTAAACTCTTTAAAAGCAAAACTTATTTGGTATGATTTGACAGGTTGTTTTAGGGTTTGAACATTAAAATGTTACCATATTAATGATAATAATGTCCCTAGTACCCATCCCCACCCCCAGTAATTCTACCAAATCATGACAAGTAGGATCCTTATACTTCCACATTTTGAAAAACTGTAACCACTTGAATTCTACTTCTCAGGTTCTTATATTCCTAATTCTCTAAATAAGTGGGAATTAAGTAACCGAAACTTGTTGGTTTGTCTTACAGCCCTCAACTTCACAGGGCTAAAAGTCATGTCTTTTAATTTTTTTCTCAGTAGTTTTCTAATCTTAGCCATAGGGAATATAGTTAACAATTTCAACAGGAATTTCATTAACCCTTATCAGCGGCATGATTTGAACTCCAGTCAGAACTAAGAAGGATGGCCCTCCCGTTGATCGTTGATTTGCTCGAGTGGGCCCAGTAACGTCTCCATTGGAGACTTTGTTGTTACTGTGTCTGGCATATCGAATACTCTCGGTAGCTTGGCGGGCTCTCCGAGAGGGGCGGAGGAATCGAACTCGGGTCGGCCATGTTGGCCGCTTGTAAGGCGAACGCCCTACCGCTGTGCTATCGCTCCAGAAAAAGGAAATAATATGACTTTCAACTAAGTGGGGTTTTGGGGGGAAGGGGGCTGGCAGCTGCGGTCCATATCCAGCAGTACTCAGGTATTACTCCTGGCTCTCTGCTCAGACATCAAAGACAAATGACTTTTACTTGGGAATGATTATTTGTTAAGTTTAGAAGTGGCAGGAAAAGCATAGGAAGACTGTAAGAAACAAATTTCATCCTTTATTAACAATACATTCGACAACATAGCTGATCACATTTTTCTCCCTTCATGTTTTATTTGATCCCCTGGCAGTGCTGGAGATCAAATTCAAGATTTAATGCCTGCAAGACAAATGCTCAGCCTACCACCGAGTTAGGACTCCAGGGTGAACCCAGAGCCTCACACATGCATACACCCATTATACCTCTAAACTGCATTGCCAGATCTCATAGAGTTTTAAAAACACGGTCATTTTAGCTGGGGATATAGCTCAGTGTTAGAGCAGTTTGCTTTGCATGTGTGAGACCCTGATACCAAAATAAGAAAAAAAAAAAAAAACCCCACCATTAAAGTATCTGTTATTGAAAAAAATATTATGTATTATTTTCAGTTGTGATGGTAAACGACTATGACTTCTCATTTTAATAGAAAAAAATAAGCACAATAAGTTAAAATTGTAAACTTGACCGTTTCTATTTTGTTTTTATAACTTCATTATACCTTAGATAGATCACTGATAATCTGGTGTTCTTGATTAACCACGTGTTTTGGATTAATTTACACTTTTTTTTCTAGAATTAATTGGCAGAGCTTTGAAAGTTTTATCTTTCATAAAATTAAGTTTATGGCAAGAGTCGAGTTTGCTCTAATTAATTATCTATTACTGTAAGTAGAAAAATTAGACTAGTAAAATACTTGCCTTGTATGTATAAAGCCATGAGTTAATTCCAGCACCACAACAACAAAAAAGTGTAATCAAGTTAGTACTCTACATTGTTTTTCTTTCGTAGTAAGATGTGTGTTGATAACATACATGCAGAGAAAATAGTTTGTTTACAGTTTTGAGGTGTATTATGTGGATTTTTACAAGTTTCTTTTATTTCCTCAGCAGTACATTCTCGAGAGCCTTACCCTTTTTTACATCTTATTTTTTCTACATCTAAATCTTTCTATGTACCATTTTATTTCATTTTCTTTTTTTCTAATAAACTGTATCATTGGCTTCTATTATAAATGTTTGAGCATATCACTTCATACCTCTGTTTGCATATAAATCTTACCATACTTTCTCTAGCCACATGGTTGGCTAGAGAGTCTTAGAGGAAACTAATACTAAGTATTAGAAAACAAACTGCAGACCTGCATTCTACAGCTAGACTGCTGTGGTACGGGTTACACGTGTGACTGGAGACCTCTCACCTGCAGACGCAGATGCTGAAGTCCTCACATTGTACAGTTGGGAGAATTAAATGAGTTTATAATACTTGGACCATGTCAAATCGCTTCAAAGTATACTACATGTTAGTTGGAGATAATTATAATCTTAGGCAAGGAGGACACAGACATACTAGACTTAATTCACTTATCATTTATTAAGATTCCCTCAGCCATGCTCAGGTGTCCGTGGGCCATTTCTAGTGATAGCTCTAATCAGTTCTCTGCAAGTAAAAAAGTCAGGCTGGGTCACCGTTAAAGAGTCAAACAGTCAGCGGTTCTGAGGGTGCCGAAACCGCTCATTGTGTGACAGAGCTAAAATAGGGCCTCCAGCATACAAGGCATCGGCTTGGCCCTTTTTACTATCACATATTCCTGAGTCTGGAGCGATAGCGCAGTGGTAGGGCATTTGCCTTGCGCGCAGCCAGCCCAGCTGGGCCAGGTTCGATTCCTCCGCCCCTCTCGGAGAGCCCAGCAAGCTACTGAGAGTGTCTCGCCCACGAGGCAAAGCCTGGCAAGCTAACCGTGACGTATTCAAATGTGCCAAACACAGTAATAACAAGTCTCAAAATGGAGATATTACTGGGTCCGCTCGAGCAAATCCATGAGCGACGGGAGGACAGTGACAGTGATTTTGCACTTAACCCTCGTAATTTATTCCTAACTTTCTTCAGCACTTAGATTATGCTTTCAATTTTATCCTCTTAAAGTTTTTCAGATTAACAGATTACTAAATTGCAGTGTAAAAGTACGTAAGAGAACATAATTGCCAAATTTGAAGTAGTCAGTCCTTCTGACTACTTATCTTTATCAGCCTTTAAACCCCATTTTCTTCATGGACTATTAAAATTGTGTAACTTCCTGAATTTTATATAAGTCTGTAGTATTTACAGCTCATAAATAATTATTACTGGTTTGCTCCTGTGACTGGGTTCAGTCCCCAGCATTCCATATGGTCCCCCGAGCCCGCCAGAACTGATTCCTGAGCTCAAAGCCAGGAGTAACCCCTGAGCATCTCTGGGTGTGGCCCCCAAATCAAAACAAACAAAAAATAATACAACTAAAGAAACTGCTTATTTTTTTGTGTTGGTAGTATTTATTTATTTATTTATTGCTTTTTGGGTCACACCTGGCGATGCACAGGGGTTACTCCTGGCTCTGCACTCAGGAATCACCCCTGGCAGTGCTCAGGGGACCAAATGGGATGCTGGGAATCGAACCCGGGTCAGGTCGGCCGCGTGCAAGACAAACACCTTACCCGCTGTGCTGTTGCTCCAGCCCCGTGTGGTAGTATTTAGCATTTAGAAATGTACTTGATCTAAATTGACCAATTACATTTTTACCTCTCATAACAATGCCTCATATCATAACTGCAGGTACAGGAATTTTTTTAAATGCTAAAAAGTAATTCCTTTTAGCTAATTTACTCAAAGGGCAAACCTTCTTGAGCTCAGTTCAGGTTTTCATTTTTATTCTAAATAATTAGAGAAATTATCTCAGTTCCTCTTAGCTCTTCTTTACACACTCTTGTTCATAGTACTTCATAATTCCAGGTGAACAAAGCAGATCGTAAAATCTGTTGCTTGTTTTTTATTTTATAAATATATTTGCGGGTTTGTTTTGTTTTTTAAGTAGAAGTATATAAACTAAAACCTTAAATGTTACAGGCCCTGGAAGATAACTTGGTGGCTTGAAGTGCCAGGACAAGCCTCAAGCCTGGGGCCCCGGGCTTAATCCTTCACATGAACCTACCTTGCCCTGCTGTCCCCACTGTATGATTCCCACCAAGGAGAAAAAAACTCACAGTTGCTTTTCTTTAAGTGCATTCAAATAGTTAATATTAGTATTTCATTTTAAGGAACCGTAACATTATCTTTTTTCTTTTTCAGAATCTGATATTGATGCTGCCACAGCAATGATGCTCTTAAATACTTCTATAAAACAAGGAATTTTAGAATGTAAGAAACCATGCTATTTCTTAAACGTTCCTGCAACTCCTTTTTAAATGTAATTTAGAATGGGCTGGAGCGATAGCACAGTGGTAGGGCATTTGCCTTGCTCATGGCCGGCCCCGGCCGAGCCCTGTTCGATTCGTCCGCCCCTGCCGGAGAGCCCGGCAAGCTACCAAGAGTATCTCGCCCGCACGGCAGAGCCTGGCAAGCTCCCCGTGACATATATTCAATATGCCAAACCCAATAACAATGTGTCTCACGATGGAGACGTTACTGGGCCCGCTCGAGGAACTGATGAACAACGGGAGGACAGTGCTACAGTGCTTAGAATGTGAAATATGTACATACTACAGGAAGAAAATTTTTATCTGAATTCTGTTTTTATCACTTAATTTGTTTTATTATATTACCTTTCATTTATGTGAGTAATTTAATTGAAATTGAAGTTAATTATATGATAGATCTTTTTTACATTGACCGAAAAATAAGACATTTAGATATTAAACTTGAATATTTAAGTTAAAATAAGAATTACAAGTAGATGCAGGAAAGTTTACCTCTACCTTTCCTAAAAATTGGGGAAACTTCTGTAAGGTACAGATTTCAAAATTCATAGAAGACAGGATAAGTAAATTTAAATGTCTAAATTGTATAACTCTGACAACAAAAACTGTCTATAAGAAAAGTAAAGCGTGATAGAACACTGGGGAACTTTTTATTTCTTTTGCTTTGTATAACAAATCAGGGTTTACTGTTGAGTTTGGTAGAAAACTCATGGTTTGGGAGAAAAGCCGGCAATACATGAGCAGGTGGGTCTTAGAGGACAAACTTGATGGACAACACAGATTTGCGAAGATACACAACTTCTCTGGACATCAGGAAGGTGCAAGATGAGACAATATTGAGACATCTTTTGTTTAGAGATTATGATACTAAGTAAATGATACTTAAAATGGCACTGGGTTTGGCAAGTCTGCATATTGTAAGCACCTCCTATATATAAGCTAGCATCGGCTTTTGGAAGACAAAATCAGAAGTACCACTATGATGTTTTGGGGGTGGGGGCTACACTTGGTGGTGCTCAGGGCTTCCTCGTGGCTCTGTACTTCGGGGTCACTCCCAGCAGCTCAGGGGGCAGTATGAGATGCTGGAGAACCCCGGTCACTCATTTGCAAGGCAGGTACACTACCCACTGTCCTATTTCTCTGGCGCCTAATTTTATTTTTTAATTTTTGTCTGTTTTTCCCTTCTTGCCCTCCTCCCTTTGTTGCTGACCCTGGCTATGATGTTGTAGGTGGGGTTTTTTTGGTTGGTTTTGTTTTGTTTGTTTTGTTAAGCTGGTGTTCACCCTGTTTGCATGTCAGGTTAGTGTTTGCACACTTGGCTGGACTACTCACCAACATTTTCACACCTTGTTGCAGCACTTCTACAACTTCTCGCCATGGTCACACTCTGAGTTGAGGCATAACCACAAGTGTGGCTGTGGTGCTATCAAGGCCACTGCACTGCTGACACAATGCTCACCATTTACCTCACTTCCTGGCCTCAGTGCCACACATCGTTAAAATTGTGTTGCTCACTGGGGCTTCCACACCTTCCTTCCTCTTCCCCTCCCCAACCCCGTGTGTGTGTGTGTGTGTGTGTGTGTGTGTGTGTGTGTGTGTGTGTGTGTGTTGCTTATACACTTGACTGCAATATAGATAGAAATGCATTGGTGTCGGGTGGACACCGGGGATTTGAACTCATGACCATACACACGTAAGGCAGGCACTGTAAGCTACTCCAGTCTCAGTTAGCATTTTACTATTTTTAAATTTTTTTCTATTTTATAAAGTAATTCATAATATTTGATTACATTTAATATTTGAACACCAATCCCACTCAGTTATTTTCAATGTGTGTATTCTTTTTGTTTATTTTGGGGATCACCCAGTGGTGCTCAAGGAGCTATTATATGGTGCCAGGGATGGAATCCAGACCTCCTACAAGCAAATTATTTTCTCCCACCCATCGAACTATGCCTGTGACACCAGTATTGAACTTTTTTCCTATTTATATATGATCCTGAATCTGTTTATTCTTTGACATTGAAATTCCATTTAATGGGATTGCTCTTAGAAAATATTTGCACATGTGGAAGAAATATATTTATAAAGATTTTAATTGCAGTATGAGTGAAAGGCCTGTGTCCTCTTGATGAAATTTCATTTTTCTCAGGTGAGAAGCCCGTTCCTCTTAAAACAGCACTGCAAACAAAGAGAAGTTACGGCAGTGCTTTTCACCATCCCGGTCCTGTGCGATTGCCAGAGAGGGACTCCTCGGCCACCAGCATCGACCCAAAGGAAGACCACAATTACAGTGCCAGCAGCATGGTGGCGCAGCGCTGCGCCTCCAGGGCCAGCGTGTCCTCCCTGTCGTCTGTGGATGAAGTGTATGAGTTTATCCCAAAGAGTGGCCGTGCGGGGAGTGACGGCAGCGAGGGGTTTCCTAGTGAAGAGGACACGGACGTGGATTGTGAAGACGACCCCCTTGGAGATAGTGGCTATGTGTCCCAGGCTTGTGTCGACCCCTCGGAGAAAGGGCAGCCAGGCAAAAAGCGGAGGCAGCAGCCGTGTCCAGAGATCGACGAGGAGCTCAAGGAGGCAGCCGGCTCTCTGCTCCACCTCGCGGGCATCCGCACGTGCCTGGGCTCCCTGATCAGTGCTGCAAAGACACAGAGCCAGAAGCAGCGGAAAAAGTAGAAATACTGATTAGTGTGGAATTCTTTGACAGTGTGGCAATACTCTTAATGTTCACAAGGGATAGCAAAGCCATAATGGACTTCTTTTCTTTCGGGGTGGGGAGGGGCGTGATGGGGCTTTTTTTATCTTTGCTGTCAGGATCATGCCCAACCATAAACACGAGGCGAAGTCCTAGATGCATGACTTTTGCGATAAGTGTCTCCGAATTTTGTAAATTTTTTGAAAAAAAGCAATTCTCCACTCTCTGTCTTAAACTTGTAGGGAAGATTTTTTTTTTAATATATCAAAATGGAAGAATTTGAAGCTGTCTAACTTTTCATTTTTTCAGTCTCTAAGTAACTATTGATCGATCTAAAAATGTGCTGATATTTTTCTCCCGTGCTCTCTTGACACATAATCCAGTACGATGACATTGGAAATTTTTGTCTTATTTTTGTTTTAATTTATTTTGTTTTAATTTGTTGAAGCATGAGCAAAGCAGTATGAATTAGAAAATATCACAGATGTGTAGAAAGTTCCTTTTGGTTGCATAGGCAGAGACTATGGCAAAGAATCCTAAGATTTAGAAAAGACAGTTTGTGGTATAATTTCATCTAAGAACACTCCGATTTCTATTACAGTATTTTCTTTGATTTTTTTTTCTTCTTCTTAGTTCCCTAATATTGTGTAGCATTTACGAGAGCCTCTGGTATTTCCCCAAGTGCTTTGCAACCAATCGTAAATCTTAGCTGCTAGCTGTTCCTGTTGACTGGAAACCACCCAGTGGGGGATAGAGCCATTTAGGGCAGTATGGAGCTCGCACCCATTTGGGCGCAACTTTGCAATAACAGTCTTTCATTTGCTTGTTCAGTGTGCTGCATTCTATGACTCTTGTAATAGAAATGGAGTGTAATCAAACTTAACTATTTAGAGTACTTATGTCATCACAAAGGTAGGTCATTGAGGAAAAACGAGGCTTATATGTGAATTAAATTAGTATGCATCCTTAATTAAATTCCAAAGGATTTAACAAAACTAAGGACAAAATATCTTCATGGATTTCAGTTTCATAAAAAGAACATACAGTATACCTTTTTGAGAAGGCAGGGTAATTCCTGTATGTGCCATTATTCCATGCTAAGAAATTTTCTATACCTGTTCCAAACCTGCATTGATTAAGGCATTTTAAATATCTGAACAAATCTGTTTGAATGAGACTTTTTTCTATTCATAACAAGGGATACTAATAAAACAATGTATTCATTATATTTTTTTACAGCAGTGGAATCACCTTTCCTGAAGGTTCTTCTTACTCATGCTTCACAAAGAGTGATTCGTTTTCATTTTTCTGGTAGTTTCATACTCAAACACACGTATCGTACATACACAATTATGATTTTGGTTTGTTACTTTTAGCTGTTTCTATGACTAAAGCATTTTCTTGGATTTTTTTTTAAGAGGCAAACTTTTTATTTTAACTCCTAAGTTTTATTTGGGCAAAACTCGAACGAGAAGCATATTGAAAATGTCTTTTTCAATTGGCAAGACTTTAAACCAGGGATATCTATTTCTATAATCTGTCCTGTTCTCTTAGTTTTAATTGATCTTGGATGCCACATTAATAAAATTGGTGCTGCTAAATACAATAATTTGCTGATAATGAAAAATTATCCTTAAGTTTACAGGGTGAGATATTTAGATTTTTTATATGCATATGACTTATCTACTACAGAAAATAGCGACACACGTTAATACCTTTTACGTGTAAGCATCGATAAAATACCGAAAAAGAAATGCTTCTACTACAGTCTTAATATAGAGGAAAAAATTATTGAAATGATCCCAGTAACATAATATCCTTAAGCAATTTATCACTGTCCTCTGGATACACTGTAGTAAGAGTATTTCAGTGATCTGGATCCAATTTAGGTTCTGCTGAAATCCTACATCACAGATGTTCTCTCTGGTTTCTGTCCATTTTCAGTTACTCTGTCTGAATTAAGGAAAACGGTCTAAGACACTTTCCCAAAGACTTTTTTTTTTTTTTTTTTTGCTTTTTGGGTCACACCTGAAAGTTAGCTGTGTCAGCCTCCTGTAGGGGATACTGGGTTAACTGAGGAGTGGTAGGGCGGGCCTTTCTATCTCTTTGCTTAAAGAAGATAGATTTTTCAGGAAAGTGTTGAGTGAATTGTTTTTGGGGTTCTTTTGTTTTTTTGAAAGAGGTCGCTAGGCCATATAATTTTGGGAACCTCATCTATGATGAGTGAATTATTCCCACTTAATAGGGATCTTCATAAATTATATTGTCTTCAGATAAATAATAGAAAAACTCTGTTAACTTTTTTACTCTTCTTGTACTCTAGCAAGAGTTACTTGCACCCAAAACTAACAAGAGGAAACAGTATTCTTCTGAATTCTTTTGCAGAATTCAGTGTATCACTTTCTATTTGCTGATAAATATACCAAGACATTTATAAAGAAGATCCTTTTTAATTTTGATCCCCCATTATTGCTTCCACAGACATGATCACATTCTTCAGGTGTGCTGAAATAAAAACAACTAGTAACCAATTTAGGGAAAGTTGAATTTCCAGTCTTGTGGACTGGAAATTATATTTCCAGCAATACTTTAATAACAGACTTTTATTGTAATAAAAACAACTTGGAAATCCTGAAGAGGTTATATATTTTCCATTGTATTTTAAAACTGACTTAAGGTTATAAATAATTTGCCTTACCAGCAAAATAAAATTTGTTTTAGCATCACTTTCAGTTTTGATTAGATTCCTAGTAAAAGTTTGACTTAACATGATTAATGTTCCTTATTCAGATCCCAAATAAAATCAGTGTTTCTTAAAAATGTATTTGAAAAATTTTGTGCAATATGTTACTAATTGAGTTAATATTTCCCTTTTTAAGTTCAGAGAAAGAAAATGTTACTTGTATTAATGGAAAAGCTAATTATTGGTGGATCTCTTTTTTTTTTCCACCTTTGAGCCTTTAAGTCTTTTCCTATTACCAGCATGATTTAACTTAGATTCCTTTGTATATATTAAAGTTAATTTTTTTTCTTTTCCTATTTTCTAAGGCATTATATTAAAAAGCTCATCATAAATGTTCAGTTAAATATATGTTAGCATGAGTTCAAAACTAGAACGAAGTGTTGAGGGAATATATGTGTCTTGGTAAACCAGGAAGGAGGCCTTTCCCAGCAATTTTAACAACTTATGTGAATATGTGACAAAGCTTAAATACTGTTGTCTTAAATTTTACAGTAACTAAACCTTTGGTGAAAACCATAGCAATTATGAAATCTTCAGGCTTTCTGGTTTATATATATTTTATGGATTTTTGTTAGTTTGAAGTATGTAAGCTTTGATTTAAACAAAGTTTACTTCAGTATGTTAATGATGTAGTCAAAGTATTTATTGAAAGACAAAGTAGAATATTTTAATGTCATACCTGCCTTTTTTTCTTGAAGCACATTCTTTGCATCTAACTGCCAGTGCCATTATCAAAACTTATTTTAAGATTGTTGTACATTTCTTATTAAACGAAGTGCTTAATTTTAAAGTATTATTTTGCCATCATAGTGTATAAAAATGTATGATTGCCAATTCATTTTAACTATTATTTATTTTTAAATGAAAGTATAAGAATGCTTTCTAATACAAGAAATTTGAATTATTAAACCATTTTCTTTCTAATGTAGCATAAAAATTGCCCTGAGTTTGAGTTACAGCTGCCACAGATGACCAGTCCAAGTGAACTACTTCTCAGTCGCCAGTCTCGGCTCATATTGAAAACAACTTAAAAAGTGTTTAGTTTTTGTATCTAATCTCTTGATTATTAAAACATTTATAAAATTTATTTTTACCAAAGAGATGCAGTTCGTTATGATAAAGTATTGCAAAATAAACTTTGTTTTATAGCATTTTTGTGATTTCTTGATTTTTGGGGGGGTAGTAAATGTAGTTGACTCATCCTCATTACACACACAAAAAGAGCATACACTTTCAGTTATGGTATTAGAAAGCTGAAAATACACACATTACAAAAATTAATAACTGTCTTTTTTCAAGTGTTTTTCCTGATATGCCATTCACTGAAAGCTAGATCATTGTTAATTTGTTCAGTTCCTAAAATTAAGCTGAAAATGTCTTCCAAAAATAATTTTTTTGCAGGGGGGTCACACTCAGCAGTACCCAGGGCCTATTCCTGGCTCTGCACTCAGGTATTACTCCTCATGGGGTACTCCTGGCAGGATTGGGGACCATTTGGGATGGCACGGATCAAAACTGGGTCAACCACAGGCAAGGCAAATGCCCTGCCTGCTGTGCTATTGCTCCAAACCCAGGAGTATTTGCAAGATTTTAGGCTCTACTCTGCAGTGCTCAGGCCCTGCTCCCAGCTCAGGGGTCTCTTTGGAGTCCCGAGGACTGAATCTTGGCCTCCTGTATGCAAAACATACACGTTAGTCTTTTGAAGTACTTCTCCAGCGCCAGTATGGAACTTCTTTTTCTATTAATAAACAACTGAGATTTCAAAATAAAATTTTGAAAAATTAAGTCACTGTCACTGTCTTCCCATTGTTCATTGATTTGCTCTAGCGGACCCAGTAACGTCTCCATTGTGACACTTGATACTGCGTTTGGCATATCAAATACGTCACAGGTAGCTTGCCAGGCTTTGCTGCGCAGGTGAGATTGTCTCTCTCGGTAGCTTGCTGGGCTCTCCAAGAGGGGCAGAGCAATCGAATCTGGGTCAGCCACATTCAAGGCAAATGCCCTACCCACTGTGCTATCACTTCAGAAAAATTAAGTAAAATAAGAAATTAAGACTAAAAATAAAGTAGTTTTACCTCAGATTTGCGGTCAGGAAGATAGATACCTGAAACAGGAAATTGAAAAATAAAACATTTTAAGAGTGATATATTTCTAGCCAGATTAAAAGGGAAATTGGCAAGAAGATCCAGAGTGCATAAAAATGACATATAGACAAAGCCAACAGACACTAAAAGTCTTATAAAATAGCATTAAGACTTTCACAATCCACTAGTGAGGTGTAGGAGCCAGAGTGATAGCAGTGGATAGGGTGCTTTCCTTGCACATGGCCCAGTCAGGTTCCATCCCTGCCTCCCATATGGTACCCAAGCACCACCAGGAGTGATCCTGGGGTGTGGCCTAGAAACAAAAAAGATGAAATTAATTGTGTGCACAGCACTAGGAATCAAAACGCAGGTTTTGTGCATCTAAGTTATGTGCTTTGCTGCTGAACCACATTCCTGGCCCAATAAATTTCTTAAAAAGATGTAAAATATATCTAAATCAGGAAGAAAACATCCAATAGTCTTGTATTAAATTTTGGTTGAATCAGTGATTCTTGGTAATTAAAAACCTAACAAATTGCCCTGCCATGGAAACAGTTCCATGAAAGAAAACATCAGTAAACTGGACTTTATCACAAATAAAAATTACTCAAACACTGCTCAGAGTATGAGACAAACCAGTCTGGTAAACATACAGAACATCTGATTAACAACTAGTACCAAAACGGAAACACCAAAAACCATTTAAAAAGTGTCAGTAAATATCTGAATACTTATTCAAACATACCCCTCGTCAGAAATGACGCATAGATGGCATATGCAGAAATGATGGCACATACAAAGATGTTCAGCACTAGATTTTAAACACGGAGCTGTTTAAAAGACCAAGATGCAATTACAAACCTATTTGAAATCTAATACAACACCAAATGCTAGCCAAAAACGGCGCAGCATAAACTCTGCAGGTGGGAATAGGACATGGTACAACCACTTTGGAAGAGGGTTTGTTTGTTAAGGGTCCAGAGAGTGAGTACAACTGGTAGGATACTTCTGCTCATAGCCAACCCAGGTTCAGTCCCCGGCACCATATGTGACCCCGGAGCCTGGGAGTGATCCCTGAGTGCAGAGCCAGGAGTAAGCCCTGAGCACCACCAGCCATGGCCTCTAAGAACAAAAAGTTACAATTACTCAAAGTTGAAAGCAACCAAGATGCCTTTCAATATGTGGATAAAGAAGTTAGAACACTCATTGGAATATTGTCCAGTCATATAAAGATATGAGCTATTTACAGGTAAATAGCTCATATTTCACTCCACGAAAGTTATACAAATGGACAGCAACCATATCAAATGATGCTATAAACATATTAAAATTTTTAGGAAAATACAAGTCAAAGTCATGAAAACGGTTACTATTAGGTCATAACATTAGAATGGTTACTGTAGCACTGTAGCACTCCTGTTCGTCAGTTTGCTCAAGTGGGCGTCAGTAGCATCTCCATTGTGAGACTTGTTACTGTTTGGGAACTTGCTAGGCTCTGCGTGGAGACAGGATACTCTCA